GGATTCTAGATGGTATGTAGGATAATGATAACATCAGTTGACTGGGACTTGGGCTACCTCCCTTGATGGTAGGCCTTCCATATGCGTGCTGTGCCATCCAGTGAAACTGACACGTACTACAGAAAATCAAAGAAGAAAGTAAGTTAGGAGTTGCAGCGGCAACACTACACAAGGTTCCAAGAACATGGATAAAACATACTGATTGCCCACCGTCCTTGTCTCATGAGTTTTCCGACTCTATTGTTCTCCCATCCAATTGTAGGCCAAAGACTGGCTTCAGCCTAAATTCCGATTGGCCGTACCTCAAGGACGTGGCTCTCCTACCTGCTTCATTTCTGGGACATGGATGAGACCCTTGATAGAATCTTGATGTCCTGTGTAACTTTGCACCAGTGCTCCAGAATTGGGGTCATAAATCCTGCAAATAGAAAAAGGCAGAGTTGCAAACTCATTCAAAGATAAGCTATCCTTTTTGTGTTTCCGCTTCCCTTATTACCAAGTGCCTTACCCTGTGGCTACCTGATAGTATCGTGGTCTCCTGCCATAATACATCCATTGATCTGGTCAATGCAAATACAAGTGATTCCTCTGAGGGCTTTTATATTCCGGACACAACATCCACCATCTTTACTCTAGGTGAACCAGACAAAAACAAATTCCACCAACAAGGAAGATACTTATTCCCCAGCTTCAGCGATATACCTCACTATACAAATACAACTTTTGAAATTCTATTGTGACCTTTGCTTCTCTAATAATCGTCAGTATTATATAGTCAGAAAATCATTATAGGATCTGTAAGGGCTAATCTATTTTTCTACTGTCTACCTATCACTACGTGAAATAGGGGAGGAAGTTATTTACCCAGAGTTGAATGGTGCCATCTTCAGCACCAGTGACCCATTTGTTTTGTTGTGGGTGCCATGCCAGGGCTAGGACGGTGATTTTGTGCCCACAGAGTTCAGCCATTAGCTCCAGATCAGCACGATGAAAATTGAAAGCGCAGAGGAAAACTCCAGTGCTGGTAGAAAAGGCAAATTCCCTCCTTTCAGGAGCACAGGGGTGTAGGCTGTGAATAGCAAGGATAACAGAACATTTGGCAAACTCAGATTTTTATTTATTTATTTATTTATTTATTTATTTATT